TCTACATAATAGACCTGTGTAACAGATGAATGCAGAAGACAAGACAAGACAATAATGATGGCAGAGTTTGTTTGTTTGTTTGATTCTGATAGGTGAGAGCCAGGAAGTCCAACTTTATACAGTGATCAGCAACTTAGAGCTCTATATGGGCTAAAAAAAAAAAATACACAGGCTTTCTTTATACTACAGCTCTCATCATGGTTACAAAGATACAGGAGTATTGCTTCATATTCTTCCAGTGTAGATGTCGTCTATTATGGGCAGCAAAAGTCAGGTGTTTCTATATTTACTGCTAGAAATATGTGGGTTTTGTGATGTTTGAAGACACCTGAACAGGACAGAGTTTGTGTCATGCAGTACAATGGGGCTTAGATCCCTAACTTTTATCTTATGAGACTTTCAGAAAGTCTCAGCAGTGCCATAAGACCCTTTGAAAAACTGTTCCCAGCTCCCTGGTTTCCAGTGGTGCGCCTGAGAGATCAGCCCATCTGTAGTTTCACTCCACCCCTGCATTTGGAGGCTGCTCGCCTGCTGCTCTGTGAGACTCTTCTGGTTTTTAAATCACTCCTGCAAACACGTGTTTAGCCTCTTGCTTTGGAGAGGAGAGTAAGTAGTAAGCACCAAGGCCTGCAAATGAAGTTTGTCCTTATAGGAAGGACCCAGCCAACAAAGGGAGAGATCTCATGTAAATGAGACTCATTTTGCAGGTTTTTTTCCTTCCTCTGCTTGTACATCTTTCTTAAAATCTGAGAGGTTTAGCATCGGTCTTGAAAGGACGCTCTGCAGAGCACAGATCTGGAATTTTCCGCGGGAGAATCTGCCTGCTTCCTTCAATAAATTTAGAAAGTTAGACCTTTTGCCTCTATTTCAGAAGTGTGACTTTACAACTCCTCTCTGTCATGCTATAAAACTGGGTGGTAGTCATCTTTGAGGAAAAAACGTTTCATACCCTGTTGCTCTTTTCTTGTGAGGCTCAGCAGCAGTGGTGGCTCAGGTGGTTCCCTTTGCAGAGGGTTCAGGAGTGCAACTGGCATCCTAGAAAATGAAAAACACTTGAATCATTTGCATAGTGGATCAGAATCCAGCCTGCACGGCTGCCAGAGCAAAGACCACAAACTTTCATATTTGAGTCATCTGCTGAAAAGTGACACATTTTTATGAAGAAAGAGCTAAATGTTTACTTTAAAGTAATTTTATTTGCTTTCTTGTAGCCGAGTCATCTTAGTTGGTGAAGGTTATGTATCAACAAGATTTTCTTGCTGTGTTTCTGTGTCTGCTGCATTACAGTGATCAGTTTGACCTTGCTTGCAGTCATAAGAACAATTGTTTGACTTGAGTGTGAATATCAATGCTTGTGTCTATAGAAACTAATCAACATTTCCTCCTAATTTTTGTAAATAGGCTGTGACTGTGGCACTTGGATTTCCTGTCTCTTGCATATCTGAATCAAAAAATCTCTGCAGACAATGATGTCTTGTCTTCTGCGTTAGCCATCTATTGCCTCACTAATGGGCATCATCTTTATTATAGTCTGTATTTCTTCTGTTGAGATATGTCCAGACATTACCAGAGACTATAATTTTTCATTTTTATTCTACATCATGAATTTGTTTGAGGGACTTTGTCAGTAATAACTGTAGAAAATAGCAAGTAATGTAAGAAAAGCAGGTTGAACTGCCTACAATCAGCATTGCACAGCATTCAGTATTTTTCCAGGATAACCTTTCAAAGTTACTTTTTTTCAAACACAGTGGCAGTTTAGTGTTGATTTTTCTTCCTTTTTACATTTCAGCATGAATGATTCAGGTTGTCTTGAGAACAAGGTACAAAACCCTGCATTATTGTACCTTTTTTAGAAATAGGCCAGCTGTTTCATTGAGTAGCTGTGTGGCACCTTCACATTTGGGGGTGGATATCTGAAATTTGGATGTAGACTTGCCCCGGTATTAGGAATTTGCCTTTTCATTTGCAGGAAAACTTGTCCCTAATCAATCAGTGTATAAACTCTTGACATCTCTCATTTTGTACCCACACAGCAGGAGCTTGTTAAGTAGCACTGAGTATGCTGTATTTTAAAGCTGAAGGACTTGTTCTGATATTTCTGTCTGTCTCCTGAGGAGTGCTGTGGTCCTAGGCATATAGGAGGCAGAGGAAGGAGATTGTCCTCCCTTGTTTTCAGCAAACCTGTTGGTTGCCCAGCCAGGGTGGAGCACAAGGAGGGGATGGAGAGAGAACACAAGCTGTGGAGGATAATAAATGGGGGAAACATGGGACTGTCTGAACCAGGAGACTCAGGGGCGGTTATGGCTACAAGCACCAAGTGTGGGGACAGCATTCTGGAGTTGGTGTGACTGTCGGGGGTGGATTGTGTGATGCAATTGGGATTAAGATGAGGAACCGTGAGGAAACTGGTGTTAAGAGTCTGAGGAGGGAAGCAGCAGGACTGAAGCCACAGAAGAGAAGGGAAATTTCTGTTCTGCACATTGGTATGGAGTTTTTGATTCCTGGGGCTGCAGTTGGATGCTGCTTTCACACCTGTCTGGTGTGAAGACACAAGACGATTCCGCTTCTGGTTGGTTGGTTGAGTCCAAGTGCTTGATACAGCCTCGTAGCCCTACTGAGACAGCAGAGTGAATTATGTGGATGCTCTCCCTCTGCATCAGTGCAAAAACCCTGGTGTGAAAACACACGGTTTAGCTTAAACTGCTGCTAAGTCTGTTCATGCTTGAAGTGGATGAGAAACATTCATACAGTTTGTTCGTGCAGCTTGGTGGTGGAGAAACAATCTCCAACAAGAGGATACAACAAGTGTCTTGCTGGCAGTAGTACCTTTTGTGAATGCATCTCTTTCCACCTGTTTGTACACCTTAATGTTGCTGTCCCTATGATGTCAGCATGAATCTGTGAATGCAAATTGGGTGTCTTAACCCTACAGCTTTTCTCTCATACATGACATCCTTGATAGCTTGCAGTTATATCAGTTCCTCAAATAGAAGAAATCTGTCTGCATTTAAAAGTTTCAGCCCTGGTAATGACTTTGACCTGTAGCTCGTGAAGATGTCCTCTTTTGGGTCTGCCTGTGTCAGCACAAGCTTCCCTTGTGCTCACTATACCTCTCCTTGGAAAGGACTCTCTTTGGTGAGTCTTCCCCAGCTGGTTGGAGGCAAAACTGGGTTAGCTTGAAAGAGTGTAAAGAGTAGTTTGTAGCTGCTCCAGTTTATTTTCACCATAACGGATTACAAAACACTTTTACACCAAACTGCTAGCACTTCTGAAGGGAGACAGTCAGCACAGGAAGAGGGGCAGCTGGTGCTGAGCACATGTGTGGGAGGAAAACCTCATCAGGCGGTGTAGCTGGGTTTGGAAAGGACCTTTGTCCACAGCTTCAGTCTCTCTGAGTCTCAGTTCTGTCTCTGCAACGGGGAAAAAAAAACCCTCTCACAGGGGCGTTGTGAACATGTGCTAATTTTAGTAAATCAGGCAGTTAGGTAATATGGTGACAGCCAGAAAATAACCTATAAGGAAATAGTTGCTCTGTCTTCAAAGCATAGTGTTTAGGGCCATTTTTAATAGTGAGAATGAAGTAAACTACTGAGTTTTTCTTGTTCAGTAATACCAGCTCTACTATACCATGAATGGCACCATTTCCTGTGGAAAATACTCCCTGTGTGATCGCAAAATTAAGAACGGAGATAAAATGTTGTGCAACTGGCCATATTTCTGATATTTCCTTGCCTTTTAGTTTTTGGCTTAACATTTTTGACATGTCTGTATGTGTTTGTATGTGTAATGAACTATTTGTGACTAAGTTCATAGTTGCTTAGTACTTTCTGTCCCAAGATGTCAAGCACTCTAAAGAGGGCTTAAAGGACATTCAAGCATCTTACAGTCCTGCCATTATGTGCCTTTAAGCACATTTTTCTCTCCAAAAGTGCTTACATCTGGTTCTTAAAAATGATTCTAGCTTTAAGTGAAGGAGGTGAGAGGGGAAATGTTCTTCTAAATCTGATAGAAAATCATGATTGGACTTTTTTTGCAGATCTCCCTGATAAACCATTTCCCTGTATTTATAAGTCCTTGCATTGTAACAGGTGAGTGGGAGGTACCAAAAAATACAGCTATGAAACCACAGACATTGTCAGCAAGAAAACAGCTGGATTAACTGTCATAACTAGGCATAAATTATTTTGAAAATTGCACTATTTGAAGTTAACAGAATTGCACACTGTTTGAGTTGGGTGTCTTCCTGTATAACAGAGGAAACAAGTACACTGATAAGTAAAAAAATAAAATTAGCAAAGTGCTGGGTACTGAGTATGTATCTCTCCAGCTGATTTCCTTCGGAGTTACGAGGATTCAGCAATCCTGACAACCAAGCATGCAGAGTCTAAGGCATAAACATAAGTTGATGTGAAACAGTTTTGGTCTTGGCAAGTTTATTTGCCACAGAGTAAATGACACGTGAGCTCCATGTGTAAGAGCAACCCCTTAGGAACTGCCTTTGGCCGTGCTCTTAGGCCAGGGTGCTTTGTGGTAAACAAGAGGTGGCTCACCACCCTGCTCTTCTTTGTTTACTTGGGGCTGCCTATAGGCATACACCCTTCCCTGCACCCAACTGCCTCCTTTGTCAGACCGTCTTTGCATTCTTGCTGTAGCTTCACAAGATCATTTCTCTCTATTGTATGGGTAGAATAAGCGCCGTGATGGAAAACGGGTTTGGCTTTTTATTTTCTTGAGGAGGTAAAAGATGTTGTGCCTTGTCCAGGCAGTCTGTTTGAACAGTGTTGGAGCTTTTGTTGCAGGGGCTGGGGTGTTTAGTAGTTTGACTTTGCTGCTATTCTATTTGTTTTATGCAGCCAGTGATATATCACAGATCTATTTTTTGATCAGGCAGCATTCCTGTACTATAATAATTCAGAAGCAGCATTCACACACTAGCTGTGTGAAACACCTGTTGCTTAACTTCTCTACATGTGCTTCTTGCCCTTGTCTTCCCTTAGGTACAGTTTACTCTGTGCAAGGTATAAACTCCATGGAGCAAGTGTTTGCACAGTGCATAGCACAGCAGGACCTAGGTTTCGTCGTGTTTCTGGACATGCTGTTATGTAAGTAAGGGTACTCTGTCTTGCTGAGCAATTAGAACAGTTCACATTAGCTGAACTTGTAGAGTTTCCTGTGTGCAGGCCGGTGAGAAAAGGTTTTGTTTTGTTTTGTTTTTTTTTTTCCAGGCTGAGAGGGGCTTTTCAAATGTTCTCCAAATCACAGCAGCAGCTGGCTCTTTGGGCATTAGACAAAGACATGATTTGGAAATAGCTTCAAAGTTTTAGAGATGGCCCTTCACATACTAATGCTCCCAGATGAGTTAAATGGGGGAAGTTCACACCCCTCTTGGTGCTGTTGTTTCGGTTTTCCAAGCTGCAGACTCAGCGTGAGTGCAGCACGCAGGTTTTCATAGCGAGAGCTTTTGTCGCTCCCAGAAGTCCTAGAAACTTAATTGCTCTCAAAGGCAAACCCGGAATCTGGAGGACCCAGTGCAACCTGCTGAGAGAACACAAATGAGATACTATCACGTTTCTGTGCTTGGGCTTGCATGGAGCGAGTTTGCTTTGTGAGTGAATGCCTTTGGAATACACTGGTGGTTTTTTTTGTTGATTCTTAGACATAGCAGTAATTGTTGTTGGCTTTGTTAATAGGCATCTATGTTCTGCTCTGTAGTTACTGTTCGTGTTTTCTAAAAAGTTTGCAGACAAAAAGAAATATTTGTTCTGCCTTGAAATCATGAAAGTATTCCTGCATTTAAATGGACTGATAGCCTTGATCCAGCCATCATCCAGCCATCATCCCTTCAAACAGGCATGGAGGGAAAGCTGGCCAGTTGTCATTTGACTGTTGCTGTCTATCTTCTCTTACAGACTGTACTTAAAATGCCAGTATTTAATTGTTCCTTTTTTATTTTAATTTTTTTAATGCTAGTTTGCCAGCCACTTTTGTCCTTAAACAAATGAACCATGATGGCAACTGAGAAGAAACTGCCTTTTGTAGATAAGGAATAGAGTTTTCAAATGTCCTTATATAGCATGGTTCCCTAAGTTTTATTTTCCTAAGTAACTCCTGTAAAAATTTGTGGAGAAGGTCTGTAAGTTGGTCTGGGAGGTTTCTGTCATTTTTATCCATAACCCAGTTTTAAATGTAGTTTTCCTCATCTCCTTCAATGGTTAGTTTGTAGGCTCTCCATTCATAGGAATACTGTTTTGATATATTTTGTATGGAAACTGAAGCAGGAAAAGGTTTTAAGGTAAGCCAGCCAAATAAATAATCCAAGGTCTTTTGATCAGTTTCCATTAGCATTAAAACAGTAATCTACCCTATTAGATGTTATTTGAAAGGAAGTTCAGTGTTTAAAGAAGATAAACATACCAGTTGACATTCAATATGTCTTCTCAAGTCACCAGCAGAAACCTTGCTGAACCTTGTTGGCAGAGGTGCCTTCTGCAAAGGGTTCCTGAAAACACCTCCCCAGCTATTGGCTTAGTTTCTAAAATGCTCTGGCACTGCAGTGGGTCTGGTGCCAGAACTGAACGCTTGGTCCAGCTCCAGCTGGAGCTGAAGAAAGGCTGAATTATAAGACCTCTAGGATGCCTTCAGGTTCAGAAGAAACCGAGCGCTGGAATAATGTGTCATCCAAACTGTGATGTATTCCTAGAAATTGATGAATATGCTATTTTAATTTGTGGAGTTTATGTAGCTGAAGGTACTGAGATATTAGTGCTTAAAAGAGAAAGATCTGCAGCTCTTTAAGAATGCCTGGCGCACAAACAAGTGAAGATCTAAATTGCTTTGAGTTGCTGATAGTTTTCACAGCTTTGCGCAGACACACCTTTGCTGGTACTGACAAAACACAAATACCAGTTTCTCATCACTGTGCTCTCCTTGGCTGGTGTACATCTTAGTACTATACCTTCACAACTTTGGCACAGAAAACGGAAAGAAGCGGTCAACAGTAGGCTCTTACCAAATTGTTGGTTTAAAATGCTCTGAATAATGACAGAAATGAATTTCAAAATGAAGTTTTGTTGTTTGAAAACTGGACATTTGGTGCATTACATCACCCTGATCCCAGGCCACTGTGCTGAAGTTGCACTGGATGCAAGAACAGACTTGTGGTCCATGATGAGGACAGTAGCAAATGAAGGAAAGACATTATTTTCTTTCTGCAGCAGTGAGTTCCTTCAAACCTTATAGATAACTGAAAAGTCTGTTTTCAAAACATCTCTGACTCTATATGCAAATAAAATTTTTATAATTTCAGCTTTTGCTAGAGATCATATCCATTATGCCTCTTTATGACAAAGCACTGGCATATTACAACCAAATGCTTCTTGAAGAAACTCATTTGAAATGCAGGGTGGAAAGTGAAAGGGTGTTGAGCATCCACCTAATCCATATCATGGACCATCATATATTTCAGCTGTCAATAACAGCCTACCTGTTGTTGCCAGCCACTTCTAGGAGCCTTTGCCTGCAAATATGGAGTTAGAAATGAACGGGCAAACTCTGGCCAGTATCACTGGCCTGGCAGTTGGGGTATATTAGCTTTACTAATTTGTTGGAAAAGAAGTGTCACTATTTGACTCTCCAATGGCAAAACTATCAGTGTTCTTAGCTGCTGTTAGCACTGGATTTAATCTCAGTACTTTTGCCATCTGCTATAAAAGCAGTGCAGACTACTGAGGAGTGGAAAATTGCATTGTCTTTGAGAAGCTTTCAGCAGAGCTGAGCAGATTCTTTGATTTGCCATGATCAAACATCCTGATTGACAGAGCGGAACTTGAGTTCCCTTTTTGACTCGGTGGCCGAAGTCTGCTGTGAATTCTCCTAACGATGTGGCATGCAGCCTTCTTGAATTAAAAATTACAGTGGCTGTGCTCTCTGAGTGCTGCAGTGGTGGCACAACAGCAACACTGATCAAAGTCTCTGCTGCCTTTATCTGCTCTGCTGGATGTTACTCCTGCCTCTGCTCCAAGGGCAGGCAGCAAGGCAGGCCTCACAGCAGGCACGCAGCACACCCAACATTTTGTCAGCTGAAATATTTTCTCTTATTCTTCTACTAGGTTTCTGTCACAACGTACAAGATGCTGTGACAATTTAGGTTACTTTTTTTAGCCTATGACCTGTATTTCTGCCACTGTAGGCTCTGAACAGTTTTGTCAGTTCTGGATTGCCTTGTGGCTCACCTGGGATAGATGGTTGTCTCCGGTATCTTCATCAAGCACTAACCTTACCAGTATTGCTCAGTAAATAACTCCAATGCAAGGTAAACTCGCTTTGCCGCTGTTACAATTCTCAGTCTTCCAAAAAGCCAGTAGATGGGGTGTGTGCAATTCCTGTGCAAAATCACTGTACTTTGCAACCCAAAGATCCAACTTTACTTTTTACATTTTTGCTGCAGAGCGTCCTTTTTATTGTTGTGGTTGTTGTTGTTGGAGGTGGCCCTCCACATGAATCACAAAATTAAGCAACCCCAAGCGTAAGCACATGAAATTCTTGAGTGATACTTTTGCATGAAGTACTCTGAGCATGATCTGCTGTGCACCTTGCAACACTGTTAGGTCTTTGAAATCTGGGTATGAATTTTTATCAGAAGCTGCTTTTTAATTGTTTTTTTTAAATTACACTATTAATGAACTAGAAAGGTATACTAGTATATATCTGTAACTAAAACCAGACTGGGTTACCACATGCTTCTGCTAATCTGGAGGTTGCAGCATTAGGTGTAGAAGTCATGGGGACAACTATGAGATAGTTTTCATATTTTGTGTCTCCAAGCCCAGCATGTAAGGTAAATGTCTATTTGTAGGCATGATTCTGTTGATCATACATGTCAAAATTGAATTTGCTGGCAGTGTAAATTAAAATCTTTTGCTCTTGTTAATAATGTTAATAATGATTATGTAAACAATAATGTTAATACAAACTGTAGAAAGGGTTGTTAGAGACATCCCAGAGTGGATTTCATGCCTGTAGGTCAGTTGTGGTGGACTTCAAATGGGAAGGTATCTAAAACAGAACACAGGGTTTGGGACAGGTTGTGTGAGGAACTCCCCTGAGTTGTGTTCCTCAGGGGAGGTCACAGAAGAGCATATCATGCATGAACCAACATGTAAATAAGCTGGTCCAAGGTCATTTATGTAATTCAAAGTGAAACTTTCTAGGGATGGAGTCCTGTTAGGTAGGTCCTAGCTGCTTGTACCTGATTGGCAATAGGGAAACATTCAAGTGATTTGCTAATAGTTAACCAAGGGAACTCTACTAATAAACACAATCCGTGTCTGACAAGTATGCACGTAAGGAAGGAATATCTTGCCAATAAATAACTTAGAGTTAGAATACTATATCAGAATTCAGTGATCTTCTGAGAAGAAGTGTAAATGCTGATCGTAGAGATCTACAGCTGAAGTTTGATGAGAGATTTTGGGAAGAAATGATGTGCATACGCACATACGCTCTGCTCCAAGCTGGTAATGCAATTGTGGAAGGGTAAAAATCTTCAAATAGCAGACTAACCTCAATTAATTAAAAATGAAAGTTTAATAGTAGAGTATGACAGAGTCCTGAAGGCACTGGTTTTGTTTGTGCCTGTGATGAAAGGGACAAATGAAACAAACCTGTTACTTAGCGCTGCCTTTCAGAAGAGAACCACAATAGAGATGTTTTAATCTGGTGTGGTAAAGCATGCCCAAAACACTCTGAACATTAACAGTTGCACAAATGATTTACTTTCCTAGCAGTCTGATTTTGTATTATAGCATATTCTGTTTCCCTTCTGTCTTTAATGTACAGTTCTGCTGACCATGCAGTTCACATTGGCTGCCACGGGCAGAACTGCAGGTCAGCTTTTGAATGTAGGAGAATTCATGAAATTTAAGTATTTTTTGTACAGCTAATGGCACTTGTGAAAGTACAAAGACTTTGCTTTATCAGCAGATGTGGTCTAGGTTTACATTTATGTCCACATTCAATCCTTACGTTTATTGCAGTCGAGGGGAAAAAAATTAGAAGCTCGGTGCAGTCTTTAACAATCTGCTTTGGTAGCTGGCCAGTCCAC